TACACTCTTGGAACAGCAAGTAGAAGCCTCCTCCAGGTAAAATCTGGAACCTCTAAAGTGCTCCTGCTAATGCTAATGGATGAAGCCTGCCCTTCCATGCCCAGCAGTGGAAGGACATCACTGAGTTAGTGGTTTAACAAGCACTAGCAATTAACCGTTTATCAACTCCCATCTGGATCACGGTCGTCTTCGGAAATGCACTTTTGGGAGATATTTCCTATGAGAAGAGGACGTTTGAGGATTTGAGGGTAGGAAGTGAAGTGCACCCCTCAGCATACCTTGCTCAGGAAAACCGTTGCCTTGGAAGGTGATGCTCCCTTGCAGAGTCAGTGGGATAAAGCATCCTGCAAGTGGCCGTGTCACCAACGAGCAGCTCTGGGTTTGGTGAGAATGGTTTCCCCCTCCCCCAGTGGTCTGAAGAGTTCACAGTGGTATAACCCAAAGTTCTGGGGAGACAGAAGCTGAGAAGTCCCCCTGTTGCAAGTGAAAGGGTGGAGTGAGGGATGCAGATGAGAAACATCCTCTGGGGCCAAGGATAAACCCAACAGGCTCCTTGTGTCTGATCAGAAACAGAGGGAAGAGCAGGCACTGGGAGGAATGGGCAGTGGAGAAGGGTAATGCCAACGTGGGGAAAGTGCATGATCTGGAGTGGTCTCAGAGTAGTTCTGCAGTGCAAATGTATGGGGAGGGGTGTGGAGAAATCCCTTCTGGAATGCTGCATGAAGAGAGGTAAAGGTTGGCATCCATGTGGCAGCAGACTGGATAGGGGGCCTGTTTCCAGCAGCTCTACCCTGTTCTTCACATTTAGTGGGTTTCAATCACCACTGGCTCGTAAACTCCAGATGAGACCCTGGGGAGGCAGAGGGGGAGAAGCAAGCAAGCCAGGTTATTGTCCTCAGTCCCTTGGAGCAAGCAAGTTCTTCAGAGCACAAGTTCTTCTTCACAACACAAACACTGCCCTCTCACCCCACACCAAGTACTGAAAATAACCAGTCAGTCTGGTGAGAAGTCAGAAATCCTGACACAAAGCAGACAGCTACATGGCAACCAAACACTGGGCTACTTGAAAGAGCTGGGTGTAACACGAGTCCTTCTGAAGGACAGGGGAGAGGAGGGAGTATCCTGCTCAAAGAGCCACTGTTCCTGGCTTTGCTGTGCTCCCAATTTTGTCACTGACTTGACACATCTTTGCGTTATCATTATTGCCTTTCTTTTTGTACACCTCAAAAGGTGCTACAAAGGCTCAAACACAACTACCCAGGGCTCTTCACTGGAGCTGTTGTGGCAAGAAAATGTTTTATTTGCTCAGAAGTCTTTCACGAGAGTAAACACCCTCGACAGAGGCAGAGAGGGCAGGGCAAAGGGACACCAACCCAGGCTGCTGCAGGTTTGCTGCAGGCCAGCAGGAGGCAAAGCTGCCCAGCTTGACTGGAACAAACGGGAACCAACCTCTCCCATTTTGTTCTTTCACTCCTGTTTTTGGATCTAACAACTAAGATCACATTATCCCTCTGAGCTCCTGCCCAGAGCTGCATTCACACTCCAGTGCAGCTGTAGCCTGATACCAGAGAGATCCCAGGTGTGTTAATGTGGGAATAAAGCCACCATGTAGCACATGCTGTTTAGAAATCATTCCTGTAGCAAAAGGTGGAAGTTTCCTGGGTACAAAGAGCTAACTCATCTCTCTGGAGCCCCTCTGTCTGCTAGCTTTTCAGGAAGCCTACCTGTTTCCCAGCTGAATACCACTCAGTGTAGTTGTTCCATCTCTGCTCACAAACAACCTCAGGTTACTGTCTGCAGATAGAAAAGGAAGTTAAGACATCAAAATCCCAAAGTACCAGGGGCTGCCAGGTGCTCCCCTCCCAGCCCTGTGCACAACAGTCAGCATGGGAACAAGTGCATTCCTGGGAATGTTTCTACACGCCTTCTGGTGTTCCCACAGGAACTCCTTGCTCTGAAAGGGAGGCTCATGCACAGACCAACAACAGCATGAAGCTTTGGAAGAGTCAATGCAGAGAAATTACTTAATGGTTACTCCTCCAGCTGTTTCTTTTAAGGCAATTCTACTGATGTGAGTTCTTGGTCAGCTTAAACACATCTGAAGAGATGAGATGTGGGGCCTCATGCTGCTTTTGTGGGCTCACACCAGAGGAGAAACTCAGCCTGTTCTGCTGGTGAGAGGTGGCTACACTCAGTCTAGTTTTAACCCTTGCTGAGCAAGGTGGAAATCCCCAGGTGAACCAGGACCTTCCCATGTGCCATGATTTAAGGTGACTGATGGTGAACTACAGAAGCCCTAATAACAAACTGGGCTCAGGTTTCAAACTTACTGAAAAACCACAACTAGATAAAAAAGAAATGATATTTCTGTGCTAAACTAGAAAATTAAAAGAAATGCATGAAAAATGCTAGTTTTCCCTTAACAAATGCTGTGACTGTAATGGAGAAAGCCTCTTCTCAGGCTGTGGGACAGGCCTGATCACCAGCATGCTGTGACCCATCTTTCTCCCCACCTTTTTGCAGACATATGCACTGTTTCCCCTCCAGCTGAGCTCTCCTACTTGAATAAATACCCTTGGGCTGACCCTGGATGAAGGCCACTTGAGCAGTGCAGGCAGCTGATGTAACAGATTCCCACTGCCCTGAAGAATCAGTATTTTTCCCCTCCTGTCCTGTACATTTGAGCTACTGCTCAGCCTCTGCTGTGGTGTGTGGAACAGCAGAAAGTGCTGTTTGCTCATGGATGCACAGGTCTCAAACCCACAGGGCTTGTCTACCTACCACAGAAACACCAACAAGCACTGAAAGCAAACTGCTGTCCAAAGGGAAAGGGAGTCCAGGGGCACATCAGACCTGCCTGGAATAGTTTGGCAGCCTTGGAACAGGAGCAGCCAAGACATTCTCTTTGGAGACTCATCCTCTCACCTTCAGTATTGCTGACATCTGTGAAGTCCTGACTCTGCATTATTTTCTCCACTATATCATCAGCATCAATCCTGGTGTCATCCACCCGGGTTGGGTGACTCTCCACTGAATCTTTTTTCCTCCTGGGGAGAGAAAACAGAAAGAAAACTTAATCAGCTCCTCAAGACACAGACTGTCAGAGACTCTCTTGCTTCCCTTGGCAATGGCTTCCTTTTCAGCAGCTACTTCTGCTCTGTGAAGGCCAAGGAGCAGGTTCTCACTTTCCCAGAGCAGGCACTTTGCTCCTCATGACCCACCTGGAAGGTCTATCCAGCAGCAGGGCTGGTCTGGGGGGGCGAGGTGGCTTTTCCAGTTTGTGGTCCCTCTCTCCCTCGGGACACTCCACGGTCATGCTGAGCCCCCCGGAGGCGCTGCTGCTGGTGGAGGTGTTCCTGCGGTGGGTGAGGTCTGACATGCTGGAGGAACGCGAGTGCTCCGTGCTGTAACCTGCAAACGGGGAGTGGTCACACCCCGGATCTCCTCCCCTTCCCAGGGAACAGGCAGGGCCGTTCAGAACAGCACTGCTCCCCCCTGCAGGGCTGCAGGCACAGAGCTCCTCTGCAGAGGTGAGATATTAGGATTTCTTTGCCCAAAGAGTGGTTGGGCACTGGAACAGGCTGCCCAAGGAGGTGGTGGAGTCACCATCCCTGGAAGTGTTTAAAAGAAATGAAGATGTAGTGCTTAGCAACATAATTTAAGCACTGAATGGGTAGATTTGCTCATGGTTGGGGGATTTAGGTTCTGGTTGGACTTGATGATCTTCAAAGTCCCTTCCCACCAGGATGATTCCATGACTACACAGGGGACACTGATAGCAGAGCAGGGTGAGACACAGGGCTGCCAACCACTCTCACAAGAGCTCACTGCAGGGGGGGAAAAAGGCTGTGGGCAGTGCTGGCAGAGCTGTGCACATCAGTGGTTACCAGAGATCTTGGACTGCTGGCTGGCGTAGCTGGAGTTCCGCGAGTGCCCCGAGTGGAAAACTTCCTCTGGGCTGGACAGGTTCTGATCTGGTTCTTCTGGGACACCTGCCAAGGAATAACAGGGAACTCCACTTAGACCACACCCGAGCCAGCACACTGCCCACTGATCACCTTGGACTGGAGGCTGATCAGGGGATG